GCGACGCTGCCCCCTGGCGGCGCCTTCCCGCGCTGCAGCCCTCTCCCTGCCTGGGGCTCCCACACCACAGCAGGGGGCTGGCCTGTGACCCCACGAGGCGCACAAAGCGGTGGTGTCCTCAGGCCTGCATTGCACGGTGTTTATTCTCATTTTAAAAATGAATACAATTGCGTTCTGGGAAACCCGAGACCCAGAAATCTGTAAAAAATAAAGATTACTTGTAAACTCAGACACCAACTGCTAACCATTTTGGTATATATCCTGCTCATTTCTCTTTTATATACATCAGTGCATTTATTTACTGGAAAAGTGAGATCATCATCTGCAAAGGTTTTAAAAAGTGGCATTTAATATGCTCTGAGTTCAGAAGCAGAAGGAAATGTGAAAAATCAGAAAAGCAGAAAGGAGAAAATTTAAAAATTACATATGATCTCACCATCCAGAGCTCTTTCTCCTCCATTTAGTTTATATCTGTGAAAACCGACGGTTACTGCCCACCTTCTACATTGAAAGGATGACTTCACCCTTGAGTGCCCTGCGGTCACCCTCCAACCTCCCCCTCAATCCCCAACCTCCCCTCAACCCTCCAGCCTCCCCTCAACCCCAACCTCCCCTCAACCCTCCAGCCTCCCCTCAACCCCAACCTTCCCTCAACCCTCCAGCCTCCCCTTCTTCCACCCACCCCGTGCGGCTTCCATGGGAGTAGCCAGGCCTTCTGTGAACCTGGGTGTGTTCATCTGTGTGATTCTTTTTTAAAAATCCTCACCCGAGGGGAATATATATAGAGAGAGAGAGGCCCAGTGCACAAACTCGTGCCCTGAGTTCTGACTCAGCTGGTGTGGAGGAGCCCGAGGCCCTGAACCCCTAGTTCCCGGGGTGCTGTCGCTGCTGGTCTCTGGGGACCACGCGTTGGAAGCCATTGCTCCTAGCTACTCTCTAACAGGGACCCTCCTAGGCCTTGCTGACCTAACTTTGACTTTGAACTCTGTGTGATTACCAACCTTTCCTGAGTGTGTGTGTGCATGTGACAGACTCGGCCTCTCATAGTCCGTTGACTGTCCTGGTTAGGTTTGTGGCAAGTGATTTTACTGCTTTGCCACCTGTCCCGGCCTTGTTAATGGGGGTGACCCCCAGAGGGGCCCTGCGGGGCGTTACGGGGAACAGCGCATGCAGAAGCGGCAGCCTCACACCACTCTGTCATGAGTGACCCACCACAGCTGGCTGCAGTGGCTCCTGCTGGGGAGGCTGGGAGTCCGTGGGGAGCCCTGGGCCGGACGGGGTGCACACGAGTCAGCCACCCACCTGGGCTCAGCGCCCTCTCTCCGAGCGGGGATGCTGAGGACCCTGCCCCGGCCGCCTCATGGCAGCAGGTCCTCGGGACAAGGGCTGGCTCCGGGGCGAGGGGATGTCGGCTGCTCACACCGCCCCGGGACTCCCAGGGGACATGCTCCCTCCCAGCTCCGTTCTCAGAGGAGCCCCCGATTCTGTGGTCATTCCACACCCTGGTGTGAGCCTCCCGTGGCACACAACGGGCTGTGGCCAGCGCTGGGACCCTGGAAACTGGGGACACTTGTTCTGATTCCGAGAAAGAGCCCAGGTTGAACCCGTGACCACGGGGACCGGCTGCTGCCAGCTGCTGCTCTGTGCCCTCGCCACCGGTGGGTGCAGCGTGCCTGAGGGTGTCAGTGTTGGACCCACACTTTCTTGGAAGCTGGCCAGGGAGGGGTAGATGAACTCAGATCTTGGGAGCCCCAGGGACGGGCTGTGTAGCCAGAACATTCTGGCTCAGGCCTGGGAGTGGCGCCCAAGGACGCACGCTTCTCACAAGCTCGGAGGCGGCTGGCCAAGGCCCACACTGCGTATCAGGGTCTGAGCGACATTTATATCAGCGGTTTCGGCCGGTGTGCAGTAACACCTGGCTGTAGCCGGGCACTGCCGCTCTACTTTAATGTCAAAAAAAAAAAAAAAAAAATGACAACAGCCAAAACCAGTTTGGCTCAGTGGACAGAGCCATCGGCCTGTGGACTGAAGGGTCCCAGGTTCGATTCCAACCAAGGGCATGTACCTTGGTTGCGGGCACATCCCCAGTAGGGGGTGTGCAGGAGGCAGCTGATGGATGTTTCTCTCTCATCGATGTTTCTAGCTCTCTATCCTTTTCCCTTCCTCTCTGTGAAAAATCAATAAAATATATATATTTTAAAAATGACAACAGCCAACACAACAGCCATCCAGTGTGAATGAGTCAATTATACCTGTTTTTCTCAGATTGGCAGAAATGTGTAACTTTGCTGGCACGCCACAGAATTGTGGTAATTAGTGTGTGTGCGTGCCAGGAGATGGAAAAGGTGGAAAACCGCTGCCTGTGTCCATCAGCACCGCCAAACGCAGGCTCGCTTTTCTTCTGCTCTCACTGAAATCCTGAGAGCACCAGGAAAACCCTTTCATCGGTGGGTTCCGGGTGATACTTTGGGATGGGGCTGTCACCGTCTGGGTTTGGGAGTGCTGTCTCGGCTCCACGCTGGTCTCCGGGGTCTGGCGGGGCCAGAGCGGCCCCCGCAGCCCAGCCTCGCGTCCTGAGTGCGTCCCGGCCTCCGTCTTGTTAGGCAGAACCTCCATCATCAGGCCGTTTAGAGAGATGGAGGCAAGCATCTCCGTTGATCTGTTTTAACCTGACGTTCAGGAGGCAGTGGGTAAGCTCTGGGAGGCTGCCAGGGTTCTGAAAGCTCACCCTGAGGCTGACCGTGTTTCTAAAACCATGGTCGGCTATCTGTGGCTCATGAGCCACATGCAGCTCTTCCACAAAATACCACGTGCAGGCGCGCACGTACAGTGCGATTGAGATTTTGTGGCTAAAGTGACCAGACATCCCACTTTGGGCGGGACAGTCCCGATTTGTAACAAATTGTCCCGCGGTGTTTTTTTAAAAATCGGGACTTTTTTTAAACGCCGCGGGACAATTTGTTACAAGTCGGGACTGTCCCGCCAAAAGCGGGACGTCTGGCCACCTTATTCGTGGTCCATGCACAGAAGTTAGTGTTCGGCTCTCAAAAGAAATGTCAATCGGTTGTGTTGATATTTGGCTCTGTTGACTCATGAGTTTGCCGACCACCGGGCTAGAACGAGTGAATGTCTGATGGGTACCATGTATTCAACGTTTGCCGTCTGCTGGGCAATATGCACACGCTGCCCAGGGACCTTCTCATTTCATCTTCACGGCCCCATGAGGCAGATGCATGATTTTCTCCAAACAAACAGAACCAAAGGTCACGGAGAAGGTCAGCAGCCCAAGTGAGTGACCGACCCGGACTGTCGCAGCTCTGACCCCAGACCCAAGCTCTTGAGTGTTTTAAATAACCGACGTGATGAACAGTTATGGTCACAAGCCACGCTGAGACGCGAGGGGGTGGAAATGGGTGCTTGTGGCTCCTTCGTCTGTGACCAAGGCCCCGGCCTTGGGTTCCTCGCATTTTCTCCGGAAACACGGCAAACACTGGCTCCCCATCGGAACCTGACATCTGGCCCAGAAGCAGGTTTCCTGGCCGCGTGCCCTGGTGCCAGTTCTGTGAGCAGAACCCCGCCCCGCCCCATTGTCACACGCCTGGTCATGTGGTATGTGTGGGGGGCGGGGTGGGGGCCTATGTGTGGGGACAGCAAGGTGGAGGCTGGTGGCCACACCTAGAAATACACTTTCTTCTAACGGCATAAAACAGAAACCTCTCTCCGTGAGGACACGGATGGCACCCAGGCAGGAAGTCTGAACAGGAGGTGCCATCGACAGAGACAGAAAACTGATTATCCTTTACGGACAAATAAGAGAGGATCTGCTTTCATTCCGGGTTTATTTAACATTTCATCCAATCAGTACATTGATCCCGACACCAGCAAGACGCCGCGCCAACACTGACAGCCAACGCCGCGCCCGCCGCCCGCCCGGCCACTCCCGCCCGCGGCCGCCGCGGTCAGCACCTTCCCCAGCTGCTGCGCCTCAGGGGACGGGCCTCCGGGGGAGGCGAGGGGCCTCCTGCCCGTGTGTTCCTTTTCACAAACCTGGTTACACCGAGGAGAAAGCGGAGGGGCCGGAGCCCCGGGTAAAGCTAGGCAGACAGCCCACGTTCGCTCTCCTGTCCCGTTCCTGACTGCGCCTGAACTAGTTCCTCCGCCGGCGGCCCGCCGCTGCTCCCCAGCGGAGGGGAGGTGCTGGGCTCGGTGGGCATTCCGTGGCCGCCGGGTGGGAGGCCTCCGGGAGGGGCTCAGTGGGCATTCCGTGGTCGCCGGGGGGGAGGCCTCCGCTGGGCTCGGTGGGCATTCTGTGGTCGCCGGCGGGAGGCCTCCACTGGGCTCGGTGGGCATTCCGTGGCCGCCGGGCGGGAGGCCTCGGCTGGCTCGGTGGGAGCACCGGAAGCCCCTCGGGGAGCCCGCCCGGAGCTCAGGCTTTACCGCTTTCAGGAGCGGCGTCCATGGCAACGAACACACGCAGGCCAGGTGTGTTGTGGGAATCTTCTGCTTCAAAGGGTTTGAGAGGGACAAATGGAGAACACGTTGGAGGCGGAAAGGAAGGCTCGGAGAAGAGAGGACACAGGTGAGGCGCACCTGTTCTTATGGGGGTTCGGCCGTCACACGCCCGTCCCACGGACAGATCTGCCGGCCCCGGGCCCACGTCCTTCCCACCGACCCGTCCGAGTTCCGGTGGAATCAGGACACGCAGGGCACACGGCCTTGCCGTCACTGGGAACACGGTCTCCGCTGCATGGACTGTGCCACATGTGAACCTGCTACAGGGATGTGAACGGTGGTCCACGGAGCCTCATCCTCAGACAGGGCGGACGCAGTACACAACCTCCAGGTAAAATCATTTAGCCGTGGTTCACACACACACACATCGTGTCCGGGTCCTTCCGGAAGGAAGCCAAGGCGATCGAAGACCTGCTGTGCCAGGAGGAACCAGGCGGGGCCCCCGGCCGGCGCACGGGATCCGGCGGGCTGTGCGGGCGCCGCCCGCGTCACAGCCCCTTGTTGAAGTACACTCGGCGCAGCGCGGGGTGGCTCTCCTGCAGCTGGGCTTGCAGCTCGGCCTCCAGGCTCGTCACGGACATGGAGCTGGGGGAGGGAGGGAGGACAGGGTTACAGGTGCCGGGGGGGGGGGGGGGGGGGGGGCCTTGGCTTCCACACCGAGGGGTGAACGGGGTGGCTTCTCTGCTGAAGCATGGCAGGTCACGGACAGGGAGGATGGGCGGGCGAATGGAGGCGCTCTGTCCGGTGCAGGCACCTGAGAAAGATCGCCTGGAACCCAGCGTCCCATCCAGAGCCTCTCCGTGAGCCTAGAGCGTGCAGACCCTGAGCCAGGACCTGGCCCTGCAGGCGCAGCCTCACACCCATCCACACACAGACCCGCGGTTCCGGCCCAGGTGCGAGGTCAGGAGGCCGCGGGAGACTTAGGTCCAAAGGCAGCTGAGCTGCCCGTCAGGCCAGCGCTCACACCCACAGCCTGGGCAGAAGCGCACGGGAAGGCTTTTAAGGCAGAACACGAGCAGGAAGCAGGGAAGCAGTCATGCCGACAGGAGCTAAGGGCGGGTCGTTGCTGTTCCGGAGGGGAGGGGGGAGAAGGGGAGTGCCCCAGGAACGCCCAGGTGTCTGCATTACAGACCCACGTGCCCACAGCCAGGATGGCACAAGCCACACTGACATTTTCTTAAAAGCAAATCTGCACCAGAGTTAATCTCTCACAGAAGAAGGAGCGTTTTCAGGGGGGGCGGGAGCAGGCAGAGTTTCGAAATTAAGCAGATGTGCGTTTGCTTTCTGCCTCCAGCTGTTCCTTCTAGAGACCTTGGCTTCCTTCGTCTGCTTGAGCCTCAATGTTCCTACCAGTGAAATGGAACAACAGCCCCTGCGACATGAGGTGCCACTTGTAACCCAGGGTGGTCTGGTTTGTCGGGTGAAGACTCACGATCGTCCCAAAGGAGAACACACACACACATACCTTTTCTGAGGGAAGAGGGCACAGCACAGAGGCGTAGCAAACACCAAACTGAAAAAAGAAAAAAAAAAAAAAAAAGGCAAATCAGAGCCCCTGGAAACAGTCGATTTCTCAGGTTATTCCTAGTTTACTTTCCCAACAATCCCCTTTCTCTCTTTTGAGCCTCAAAAACTGTTCTGTTTGTGTCATTTTATTACACCAAAGACTGCCCAAATCATTTAAAAGGAACCAGAGAGATAACAGGAGTATAAGAAGAATCCTGCAAATAGTCCCAAATGTAAGTTTCCCCTAGAGACAGTTCACGTCCAGCTCACTGTCGGGACCTCAGTCCCAGGGGCTCTGGGGGCCCTCGTTTCCTAAACCGGGTCCCTCGTTGCCCCCCTCCCTCTCCTTCCTTCCCCTTTGCTGCACACAGACCTTTAAAGAGAAATGACCTCGAAGGAATTCTACTCACCAGACGCCAACCAGCCCGACCTGGATGGGCGCGCTCATCCACGGGAACCGCTGCAACGAGAAAGAAGGGTTTGGGGGACTTTTCACACAGGCTCTTAGAGACCCTGCTCCTGCCGACGGGCTGGGCGGAACCCCGCTGTTAGGAGGCCCAGGTGGACTGAGATTGGGGGAACCGGGGGGACACGGCAGCACGCGTGCCAGTCCTGACGTCCCGTGCCCCCGCCTGTCAGCAAACGCGTGTGCGAAGACCACGGCTCCTCCTTCGCTCCTGGCACATGATCCGAAAGGTGCCGTTGTGTGTGACCACCCTCCTCCTGGCCGGGGGCGGGCAGCGCGCCCCATGGGGCTGCCCTCACAGTGGCTGCAGCTGCGGGCGAGCAGGCAGAGCCCCACCCTCCCAGCGTCAGTGTCCGTGTCCCTTCCTCAGGCACGTGGTCATGCACAAACCCCCAAGGCCAGGCCCGGGACGGAGCCGCAGCCCCACAAGCACCCCCTCATCCCCTCATCCCCCTCTCGGCCGTCGCTGCTGTCAGTGTGGTTAAAGCGATGGCTGGCCGCAGACACTTTGCCTGCCGCTTGTTTAAATGGAAATGAGTGAGTTGGTCAGTTTCCTGGAGAGAACGTGCTGTTAGATTTTTAGTTTTCAAAAGTGGCATCAAAACGCATGCGACAGAGTGATGAGTCGATGGTCCCCTGACCGAGGCCACAGAGAGAGCCGCCACCAAGCTGCAGACTGGTTGTCATGACATCAGCCAACGGAGTTAAGAGGCAGCACACGTGGTTAGAGGCCGTGACCCCGAGCTTGTGCGAGGCGTACCGTGGTCCCCGAGGACACCTTCGGGGAGAGGCCCTCGCACAGGCGGCCGTGAGGGAGGGAGGGAGGAGGGGCTGGAGAGGGAGGAGAGAGGCGGTCAAGAGGACACAGACCCAGAGCCCCACCCGCAAGGGCGGCAGGGAACGAGAGAGCCACCGTGACACTCCGTCGCACGCTTCATGTCAACGTGTGGGACTGTGAGAGGGAAACATCTGTTTTCCCATTCATCCATCCATCTGGCCACCAGCGGATGGGCAGATGGGCGGATGGGTGGGACTGGGACCACAAGTGGGAGGAGACCTGCGTAACGCCACCCACAGCTCCGAGAAAGAGCAGGAGCGGGTGCTGATGGGGGACTTTCCTCACACGGGGACCACCTGGGGGTGCCGGTCAAAGGGGGGCCATTGCCAGATGAATGGATGATCATTCTCTCCCAGGAAAGTAGCTGGGGCGAGTCACTGTTCTGCGAGGCTGCCTCCAAACCTCCCATTGCTGACTGAGCTTCCGTCCGCGCGAGCTACTTCAAACATCTGAGACTAGAAATGGAATGTCCTGGAACCATCTTTTCACTCAAGTGCCCGAGTGCCACGGGCCTTCAGGTTCTTGGCTCCGGGTTTCGGTGGGAGCGGTCTGTGCATGGGGGCTGGGTGGGAGGGAGGACTGGGACCTCAGTGGTGCGGGGAGCGTGGCGAAGCGGCTCACCTTCAGGAAGGCCTTCTTCTCCAGCGTGTTCATGATGAACGGGGGGATGGCTGCAAGGAAAGGGAGACCGCGTAACGCGTTAGCTCACGTGTGTTCAGCTCCCACTTCCCCCAGCAACGTGACCAGAGGCGTGTGTCGCCTGTAAGCCGTTTTCACACTCAGGGTGAAGCTGTCTGCAGGAATTCTATAAGATACTTGAGGATTGGGGGGAACGACTCGCTGGTTCCATAATGGAACGCTCTCATCCAGCCCGAAGCGCTATAATCTTGAGTAGAACTTGACGTTTAACTTTAAGTATGAACAGGAATGTCTGCCTCCTGTGCCAATAAAACAAAGGCACCGCGGTGGGGGCGAGCAGCTGCATGGAGCAGAGGATAAACACTCCGCCTGGAGCCAGGCACACGCCCTGGGGGTGGCCCTGGGAGTGACCCCACCTGAGCCGCAGCTGCTGGTGTTCTCACCTGTGGAGGAGCGACCCAGGGAGTGATGGGTTTGGTTCACTGATGCACAGACACTAGTTCAGTCTGTGTGTGGGGGGTGGGTGGGTGGGTGGGTGGATGAAGGATGGAAGGGAAGGATGGATGGGTGGGTGGGTGGATGGATGGATGTGGGTGGGTGAATGGATGGATGGATAAGTGGGTGGGTGAAATGGGTGGATGGGTGGATGGATAGATGGGTGGGTGGATGGATGGGTGGGTGGATGGTTAAATGAATGGGTGGATGGGTAGGTGGGTGAATGGATGAGTGAATGGATGAGTGAATGAATGGTTGGATGAATAAATAAATGGATGGGTTGATGGGTGAATGGATGGGTGGATGAGTAGATGGATGGGTGAGTGATGAATGGATGGATGGATGGGTGAATGGCTGGCTGGATGGGTGGGTGACAGTCATACTGACCCATGCCGGGCGCAGCCATGAGAATCCGGGAGATGACCACTTGTGCGATGGCTTGCTGCGCAGCCTGTGCAGACTCACCCAAGCGGGTCCCGTTCTCGTCTGTGACGGGGATGCCCACTTTGAGTTCCCTGCAGGCAAAACACATGCCAGGTGTTCAGTGCCTTCAGGACACCGCTGAGAGGTCACGTCCCCACCTCATCCCACCACCCACCCAGGAGTCAGCTGGGCACAAATGAGTCTCTTAACATCTTATGAACAAGTTTAATCCTCGTGCAGGAGGCGCAAAAGTAAAATAAGTCACTTGATAATAAAAAAGGAGTAGCAATTCTAATGAAAACAGGCTTCACAGCGTGACTATGCTACTAAGAGTAAGAGTGATTCTTATGCTGATGTGCAAATCTGAGTGGCTTTTCAAATGAGAGGTAGACGTGACTCAGGCCTCGCTGAGGGACCCAAGGACCCAGGAGTCACCAGCCGATGGCGCTAAGGGGTATTTGTAATTAGTCAGTAACAAGGGGACAGTTCCAAAAGCTACCTTTACAGCTACTGTTCCTCATTATCCATTCCAAAGTGTTTTTCTTTCTTTGTCTTCTCTAAATTGTTAAAAAACAAAAAACCTCCCAAAGATAAAGATTATTTTAAACTCCAAAAGAAAATCCCATGGGCCAAGGACCTGTTTGGGAACAAACTTCCTATGTGTAGACCTCCTTGGAGATACGCTGTGAGACGCTTTGTGATACAGAAGTTGGAAGATTATCCTAACCTCCTGCCCTGAGCCCATCCCAGTAAATACAGCTCATCGGCTAAACCTGCTCATTAGCGGACCATCCTCACTGCTATCTCATCACTGCTTTGACGCCAATCCCCGATCTCATACGCTTTTATCTGCAAACGTTAAAATAGTGTTTAAAAGTGTCAGCGAAGAGAGTTCTTACGAGAATCCCGTTACTGCTGCAAGCACAGCCCGTTTCCAGAAAGCGCAGGACTGACCTCTGCCGCATCAGCGGGATGTTGATGCAGTTCGCGGCAGCTACGGCGGCGAAGGGCACGAAGCGTCCGATGAGCGGGGACACGTGCTGCGGGGACAGCGCCGAGAGCAGAGCTCACTTCTCACGGACGCCCGGGCGGCAATGCCCTTGCTTCCTGACAACTACTGCAAACTCAGGGTCCTGTGCAGAGACTCAGGCCGGGAGTACGTTCCCGCCTGCTCGCCAGCGGCTTCAGTATGTCTCTGAGGCGTCTGGGACATTTCGGCAGCTTACTGCGGAGGGCATTGAGTCCCAGACTCTGGGGTCAGGTGCTGGCTCGCCCCCTCCTGCACAGCCGCTGGTGGGTGAGCACGTTAGCTCAGCACTGTGCCAGGCCCAGACCAGGGTTCTGGCTGCGGGTGACAGCCCTTCCCTAGGAAGCTGCGACTAAAACACGCAGTCACACCCACGCTGGCGTGGCTCAGTGGATGGAGCATCGACCTGCAGACTGAGGGGTCCCGGGTTTGATTCTGGTCAGGGACACATGCCCGGGTTGCAGGCTTGATCCCCTGTAGGGGGCGTGCAGGAGACAGCCGGTCAATGATTCCCTCTCATCACTGATGTTTCTCTCTCTCCCTCTCCCTTCCTCTCTGGAATCAATAAGAATATCTTTAAAACACACACACACACACACACACACACACACACACACAGAAGACATGCAGTTGAAGGGAATGACCATAATGAGAAAGCGAAAGGACTTGAGCTATTTATTCTGAGACAGCGGAGGGCCGGAAGCCGGGCCGCTGAGAAGCAATCACGAAGCTTTCCCGTGGAACGGAGACCCTCTCACCTTGGCCAGGGAGTTGAGTCCCAGGGCGGTGGCCACAGCGCCAGTGGTCGCCGACACGTACGCCGTGCCCAGCTCGCTGAGGAGAGAGAACAGCGCGCGGCACGGTGACCTTTGCTGAAGGGAATGGTGGGGAGCGTGAGCGGGCATGGTCGGCGTGGAGAGCCCGTAAAACGCGCCCGTGCCCACCCGCAGGGCAGCGAGCCGGAGAAAGGGCCAGCAGACCCGAACACAAGGGGGTCCCGCGTGAATGGGACCTGACACAACCTGACACGGGCCTGGGCGGGGAAGGGGCGGAAGGAAGGGGCCCGGGAGCGCACAGGACACGGCACGTGTGGGGACAGGCAGTGGCCTCCGTGTCTGTGGCACACCCACTAAACTGAAACAAAAGGACTTTTCCCAATATTAACATGCACGCTGAAAGGAAACGTGCCGTGCTGTTCTTCCTAAAACGGTACCTCAGGGTATAGAAGTCACAAAGTCTCAACTCTGAAATACAGTTAAGCTCGAGCAATTGTATCCTGGTCAGAGATACGTTTTAGCTCACGTGTTGGATGCGAGTTGCTGTGACGTCATTGCTGGTTGCCTATGACGACAGCAGACCCCAGACTGGCCAGGCAATTAAGAGCAAAAAATAACACACTGGCGTGTGGGACAAGCCGTGCTGCAAGCTCCGCTGGGCTGTCCCTCTGGCCCGTCCAGAACGTTCCGAAGGGAGGGGCAACTGAGCCCATTCCCTTCCTCTCTGCTCCACCGATGGCCCAGCAGGTGTGTGAGCCCCTGGGCCTTTGCAGAGGCCGGTCACACAGTGGGGGGCGCCGGCGGTCTGTCCGCACGCACAGGGCAGACGGGTGTGGTGCGAGGTTCCCGCCAGGCCAGCCCGAGTGGCCGTGTGTTCTGGGGCAGGAGAGCTGAGGGTGGGGAGCCCTATCTTCCTACGGCACTGCCGATGGCACGAGTGATATCTGAGGATCGGGCCGCCGATGAGAAGGCATCCCGTAAGGCACTTCTTCATCGGAGTGCGTCCCCGCCCTCAGGGGGACACGGGAGGGCAGCGGGGCCCCGGGCCTTACTTGACCGTGAGGGGGGCGTCTCCGCTCCTGTTGGTGTAGTTGACCACGGCGTTGAAGGACTGGTTGATCCACTGCCAGAACACCACCGCCGGCGTGGTCCTGGGACAGAGCGAGCGTCACGCCACCACCGCCGCCGCCCCCACCTGCAGCCTCGAACCCGTGACGGGAGGCCGCTGGGCCAGGCCCTGGCGGCTGGGAAGGCATTACAGACCCTCCTCGCAGTTTCCTCGGTCGTTAGAGTCGGTGACACTGAGGTCAGGGGGTCGTGGCAAAGACAGCGCTCACTCACACTTTTGCTTACATGTGTGGACAGCCTGGCACAGAGCGGGCGCCCAGCCACTGTGGACCCTTCTGTGTGGTCCTGACCCCTCCCACCTGCACCTCCACTTCCACATCCACCTGCACCTGCACTGTCGTAGGAATGGAGGAGAGAGAATCTGCATAGACACTCTTTCACTTTCTCCCTCCACCTCACTGTCCTGCAGGTCTGAGCTTTGGGGGAAGCACAGCTCCTCTGAGCAGCAGAGAGAACACTACTGAGCAGAGGGACAGGCACCGCGGAGCCCTGGGCTGCGTCCGTGCGGAATGGACAGGAAGCAGCTTATTTAATAACGTCACGGACACAGAGCCAGCCCACGTGCAGCTGCCGCTACAGGAGGGAGGGAGCGCTGTCCCCGGCCACGACTGACCTGTAGAACGTCATCATGCAGCCCGTGATGGTCATGTTCATGGGGACCTGCGCTGACATCCGTCCGATCAGGACCATCTTCTCCCCGGTGTCGGGGTGAAACGCCGAGTCGTAGATGTACTTTGCTCTCCACAGCTCATTTTCAGTGAGGCCCGGAGGGACGATTCCTTGTCTAGGAATCAACATAACAACATTTATTCCAAACGCCTCCCCGCAGCTCGGGACAGGCACCGGAGGCTCTCAGGTCACACCTCCCTCCTGGGCGGAGCGCCGAAGCCCTTCCAGACCCAGAAACCTCACCAGCACGAGGGACAAGACACATCCCAGGAGCATCTCATGCCCACACGTCTCAAATCATCTAACGTTTGGAAAAACCAAAACATGCCTAATATCATAGGGAAGAAACTTTCTTTGTTTTAAATGACACATTTAAAAACGCATTTTGAACTCTGCAAACTCTAAAATGTTTTTTAGCTGACTGGGCAAAAGCTGTGGCAGTCAAGAATATCAGTTCATTCTCCTACGATAGCTTGAAAACCTAGATTACACGGGTTCGTTATTTTTTCTCCTTATCTAAGAAGCACATAGGCATTGCTAGACCTTCAGGAAATACAGAAACTCATTCCAACGATTATATCGTGGACGCCTTTGCCTGCCCGGCACCCCGGGGAGGGTTTAGTGAACACACTCCATCCTTCCTGCAGTCTCCACGCGTGTGTGTATGCAAAGGTGTCACACAGACCTGCTGCTCCTTTATCAGTGATGTTAGCGTTTCTCGGCGTCGTTAGATATCCTTCCGGACCATCCATCCTGGGTTGACTCCGCCCCCACAAAGATGTCTGCCTGGAACCCGGGATGTGAATTCATTTGCAAACGGGGTGCTTGCAGGTAGGCGTCACTTGCTAAGAGGAGGGCCATCCTGGACAGACAGCCAGGTGCAGCGGCACAGACAGCCGCGGCTGACAGAGGGAGCACCCAGAGCCGCCGAGAGCTCGAGGGAGAAGGAAGGACTCTCCCTGGAGCCTCCGGGGCACAGGCCGGTCTTCCCCCTGGTTTCAGAGCAGGGAGAGGACGTGCTCCCGCTGTTTCACGCCATTCCGTTTGTGGTTCTGTGACGTCAGCCTCAGGAACTAGCCCGTCATGCTTTTAATCGGGCTGTGACTAGGGTATTATACCAGCCGTCTATGCTGACAAGGTCACTGCCTCCCATCTTTCCCATCCATAAAGGACCAGGAAGTAAATATCCTCATATGTAAGACTGTCCGAGATTGTGTAAGAACGATTGTGAAAGAAATGAGTGCGTGTGCTGGGATAAACGGAGGGTAAAAGGTCAGAACGTGCAATGTCTTCTTTCCTTATCGTCAGCACCCGCTCGGCCTGGCTCAGGCAGCTGGTGTGCACGCCTTATCTAGGGGCGGGAGCCTTTTCTCTGCCCAGGGCTGTCCGGATATTTATGACACCACCCGCGGGCCATACTTATCAACGTAAAAACGAGCCTGCACTATTTGGTCAAACATTTAATTACCTCGCCCCTCATCCTTGGCAGGGCTGGAACAAATGATTTTTCGGGCCTGAGCCTTATCCGGGCAAGGCATTCCGGCCCCAGCTTTAGAGACTCTGGCTTACCCCATCCCCTGTGTTATCCGCTGCCCTGAGGGCTCCCATTTTTCTGTCGTCCCGTGGGAACACATGAGGTTTCTGCCTAGAAGGCCTGGCCCACTGGAAGGTTATACAGACTTTACTGCACTTGAGCTCAGAGGCACCCAGCCTCCCGCCTGTTCTCGGCAATCCGACTGCTGTTCGATGCCATCGCCACTGAGACAGAGGCTGCCCGGTGGCTGCAGTGCAGGCCTGGGTGTGTTGGAGAGAAGGGCGGGCACTGTGAGAAGGGGACTTCACAGGCTGGTGCCTGGGAGTCGAGGGAGGGCTGTCTTATTTTGGGGTACGGCGACTCTTGGACGTTACGCCTTAAGGATCAGCGATGGGGAACAAAACACATCTTCCTATTTCTATTTTATTTTTAATAAAAAGGATTCCATTGCACACACACCCCACACACACACAAACCACACAGACACAGACACAGACACAGACACACACACACAAACCACACAGACACACACACACACACACACCACACACACACACACACACACACACCACACACACGCACACACACACCCCACACACACGAAGTTGTAAGGGAAGGTTCAGGGCACCAGGCTACCATGATGAGCTGTGAGCACGTTCGGCCCAGAGTGTAACCGGCGCTACCTGTAGTCCTGCACGGTCTTGCGGGCGGCCTCCAGCTGCTCGTCCGTCAGCAGCAGGTTCCGGGGGTCCGTCACCGTGAAGAAATGCTTGGCTCGTCCCACAAAGGTGCCCTGGTCCCACCGCGGCTCCCTGAGGTTGATGTTTGGCGGGAGGTCGCCGGACATGGTGGCCAACTGGGCGGTCAGAGAGAGAGTCCCGTGAGGCCTGACCGGCCCGCCCTTCAGAACCGCCGTCTCCCTGCTCCAGGGAGGATGTGTGTGTTCCTTCCTCCCACCCCCTGCTGCCACCAGCGGGGACAGCCTAACCCGAGCTCACTGGCCACGAACCCCAACCCAGTGCCCTCATTCCCACATGTGCCTGTAGGTAGGCCCGTGGCGCTTCACCTGCCTTGTTCTGGGGGACCTGGAACTACTCCAGAGAAACTGGAAATAGAGAAAGTTAGAGAGAAACAGTGGTAGCACGGCCTCATGCTTAAACCCTCCTTCTGGGGAAGAAATCATCAATGTGCTGCGTCTGAGCTGCCTTCGTACTTTCCATCGGAGGGACTGAGCCGTCCTGGGGAGGGGGGAGGGAAGGGATGTGGTTTCCCTGCAGGCTGGTCACTGGGAAGGAGCCCAGCACCCCAGGCCTTGAGGGTGACCTGCATTTCCCCCTCCCCGACAAGGCTGAAATGAGAGGTGACCTGCAGCACCAGTGGACAGAGACGGTTGTGAAGGGACAGCTGACTGGGCGGACAGAGACCTGGCTGGCGCAGCGGGGGAGGGGACGGGAAGGGAGAACTCATCTCCCCGGGGGCCGGAGAGGGAGCGACGGGGCAGATGACCTCGTGACCTCAGAGGCGCTGGCCAGAGAATTCCAGACGGACCAGCTAGGATTCCATCCCTGGGGGAGGTCCAGGCGGCAACTAGGTCGGGTGTTAGGTTCTGGTGCGGTGTCCTGGGCTCAGCCCAAGTGGTTCCCTGTGGGGCCTGTTTGGCAATGGGTGCTTCTCGGAGAGGAACTTCCCGGGGTCCACGGGGAGTCACCCGGCCGCATGTGTGACTGGGCTGCGGACAGCGGGCGTGGCGAGGGTGAGGGACTGTGCCCCACGGGATGGGCAGCACAGGCTGCGGGGAACCTGCTCCAGGATGAGTCGCTCCCTTTGTGACCACACCCAGCGCAGGTCAGAGGCACCGGCGGAGAATTGGGGGACATCGGTGGGGGGAAGGGGGGGCATTCTCTGTGCCACATTCACTGAGGCTCTGCAGGGAGAGCAATCAGCTTCGGAAATGCAGAACAGCCGTGGAAGAGGCAGGACGCCCCCCCACACACTGCACGGGTGGGCTAAGCGAAGGCCCCCCCAGAGAGGGGCCCCCTGGCCAGGCTCCTGCGGGCGAGGACCTGAGGGCTGCTGTCCACACCCTGCGGGCAGCTTTCTGGTCCGCACAGGGTCAGAGCTCCTTCTGCAGCGGTGAGGGAGGGTGCGGAGGAGGGAGGGTGCGGAGAGCGGAGGCTGAGGCTCCCTGACACGGAAGCACAGGCGTGTTTTTACAAGGACGGCTAGCGGTGCCCTCGTGGGGCAGGTGGAGGGCCATCTCCCAGGAGCACTTGCTCCTCCGGTCTCCGCGCCAGCTCGGTAACTGTCCCCTTTGCAGCCCCCCTCGTCCTTATCTGTCTGTGCTGGAGGCCTGGGGCCGTGGTCTCTGTCGTTAGTGCTGTGACTGCGGTGCCGGGGGCAGCACCCATAAAGGACGGGGACCTAATGGACCAACGTGCCGCTCTGACTGCCCACCCACCGTCTCCGTTCCCGGGCCTCTCTGCCCTGAGACCGGACAGGAGAGTAGTTAGCGCAATGAACCTACCAGGGCCTCTCAGCCAAGCATGTCAAACTCCGGGCCCACGGGCTGCATGCGGCCCTCAACGAATACTTCTGTGATCCAGCCAATATAACAGTAAGCAACATTTTAATGAAAATTTCATAACTTAATTTTTACAACATCCTGTTGTACATAATTATTAATAATGAACGACAGCGTTCGCTAAGGACTATAATCGTGTTGCATTCATTTCCCTTACGTGCAGGCACACACACCATTTCTCTCCACTAATACCAGCAGCGAATATTCTAGCAGCCGATGGCCGCGTCATTAGCCCTGTACGGACTTGTTTGGTGTGCCCAATGGAATATTTCGCTTTCGGAGAAAACAAGAAAAATAGGTTTATTTGCGTTATGCTTATTATTTTATGCAGTTATTCAGCGCCTGGTAGGTGACTGTTCAAGAAAAATATTGTTATTAAAATATTCTATTGTTTTATGTTAACGATGACCCGTTTACTTCAGCCCTTTGTCTTCAGCACGTCTCTATGGAAACACACCTGTTTCTACGGAAACAGAAGCTCTTGTTTTTGTGGCCACATCCACGTCCACCTTGTTCATTCGGCCGGTGCTCGCCTGAGTTTGACATGCCTGCCCTCAGGGTTCCAGGGACAGGGCGAGCCGGCCTTCCGCCTTCGGTCTCAGTGTGAGTTCAAAGCTACACCCCGTCTGCACAGACCCTCCTGGGCGCCTGGCCCTTCCTCACAGGCTGGAGGGACGGTCCTCACAGCCGTGCGAGGGCGGGGACCGCCTCCAGGACCTCAGCCCCCGGGCAGCTCCGTCAGTCCCCCTGAGCGGTGTGTGTCTGAGCGTCCTGGACCAGCTGGTTCGCTGAGCCTGAGCTCCCGGCTCCCAGGGCGCCTCCCCGGACGCTCAGCCCTCGGACAGCTCCTGTTGGTCACTCCTGACTGATTTAGCGTCCTGAACCAGTTGGCTGGATGAACTTGAGTTCCTGGCTCCAGGAGGGGGGAGGGGGGGGGCACCCGGTCCATCCTGGAACTTGGAAGCCGTGGGCGGACGGGCGATGAGGGGAGAGTGAACCCTGTGGGCAGCAGGCAGGCCTGGGTTCAGATTCCAGCTCCACCCACTCTGCCCGCTTGCCCCTGCAGCCTGGCAGGGTCACCCCACACTCCAGGTCCCTGAGCCTCTGTCCGCAGAGCCAGGACGGGGCCTGGTAACACCCACTAACATGTCATAACCGCGTGTTCTAAGAGCCTGCCTTGCATTATCTCATCTGACCCTCGTAACGCTTGGCTACCCGGGCGGCTCTCGAAATTGCTCAGGTACCCCGAATCCCTGCGCCCCGGAGAGGTGGCTGTGACCCAAAGAGATCTCCCTGAAACCCTTGCTCCCCAGAGCTGGGGGGCCCGGGAACCTGGCTTGGGAGACCCAATGATCAGTTATGTTGGGGAAATGCTGTTTGAAAGAACATAAAAATGATAAATAGGTAATGCCCAATCCGGAGAGCGTCATACCCTCTGGGGGGCAATAAACATGTTCAGGGGCCTCCACGGCCACTCCCGCTGGCTGCTGGGTCCTGTGGAGGCCCCGCCCTGTGGCCGCAGCCTGGGGTGCCTTCCCTGGCCACACAGGGATCGGAACTGGACTCCGACCTCGGCAGCCCCTCCCTGTCCAGCCATGTCTCCGAGAGACGCTTCCCTCCGCTGAGGCTCAGTTTTCCCATCTGTAGGATGGGGATCAGAGGCGCTCACAGCGGGGAGGAGGGGCAAGCTGGAGTGTACAAGAGGCTTATGGCCCTGGACCCCCGGGAACTGCCACAAAGCGGGGCCGGGGCCAGGCCAGGCCAGAGGCTGCTGTCCCCGTGGCTGAATCCAGCCACAAAGGCCGTGGCTGGAGCGGGGGGGTGGGGTGGGGGCGGGAGGAGTGGGACGGAGCTTTGCTGCCTGAGCGAGCCGGAACGGTGACCAGGAATGCCCCTCAAACTTCCCTCTCACGCCAGGCCGCGGTCTCACCGGCGGAGAAATAACCTCCCGGAGTTCCCCAGGAGTGAGGTGGAGGGAATGTGCTAGGCCAGGACCTTTAACCCGGGCTAAAGATTAACGCCACGGCGACGGCGACGGCATGCACCTGGGAGCGGGGTGAAGCGGCTGCGGGCAGACGGAGCTCCGACAGAGCCTGCGCCCTGGCTTCCCGACAGGCCGGGGGGCAGGAACACATCCAGGGCACCGCGGGCACCCTGGGGCGCCACGCGTGCCTCAGTGCCCGGCGAGGGCTGGCCGCGAGGCATTAGGTCGCTAAGTCCTGCTCCAGCCCATTAAGGAACGGCAGCTCCTCAGAGAAGCCAGGTCCCCGGCCCAGACGGCCAGCCCGGCAGGGGGGTTCGGTCTGACTCTGCTCGCACCCTAACCCTCGGGGCCCAGGGCGACGTGTCTGCCAGGCAGCCACGCACTCGGGAGCCAAACGGCAGACCTGGCGCTTGGCTCTGAGCCGGTCACCCACACGTTCCCTGCGATGGGCGCGGCCGCAGGAGGACAGATGGTGGACCGGAAGGCTGAACCTGGGCGAGCAATCGCATTCCTGCAAAGGGCAGGCTGTCTGCTGCTCCCTCTCCTCCCGGCCAGGGCGAGGCTGTGGGAGGTGGGTCCTGTCTGGAACCAGGAGGGCATGGGAGTACCGCCTTCTGTCTGTCTCTCCCTCCCTCCTCCCCGCCATGTGGAATTACTTGCGGACCCCACTCTCCTGTTAGCGTTAAAACACCCGGTAACAACGCGGTCCTGATCCTGGGATCAATGTGGGGTTTGGGTTTCTTCGTCAATATCATCTGGGTGACATTCTGACTCATTAAAAAACAACTCTATTGGTGTCTACCGAGATGGTGGCATCAGCCTGTGAGAAGGGTAAAATACCACCCGTCTGTAACATGTAGGACGTGTTCCTTTGACTATTCTGCCCACTTTGAAGAGTCCACTCACAGGTTATGTAACCTGTCTAGGAAAAGATGTCACAAGTTCACAGTAGTTAGCCAGAAACTGAGTAACTCTGAACTTCATATGGTTAGAGGTCGATTTGTTACGTATTCTAATTTAATTTCTCACTTTCTAGGCTAACTTACACAGACAGTTTTAAATACATATATATTACTGATTTCCGAGAGGAAGGAGAAGGAGAGAGAGACAGAAACATCAAGGATGACAGAGAAATCGTTCATCGGCTGCCTCCTGCATGCCCTCCCGCCCCCCGTCCCCCACCCTCCCTTGGGGATTGAGACCTCAACCCGGTCATGTGACCAGGAGCTGAACCGTGACCTCCTGGTTCATAGGTCGATGCTCAGCCACTGAGCCGTGCCGG